GATCACCAAGGCAGACCAGCTCAAACAAGCAAGCTCTCACTTGGGTGAAAGTCCTAAACTGCTGAAAGAAGTATGAGATAGACATGAAGGGAAGTCTTTGGTCACACAAGGGTGCGTCAGAATGTGACCAAGGTGCGGACTGGCCAGGGAACACGTGGACAGTGTGTAATCATCTTCCTTATTGGGCCTTGGGAGAATGATGATTGTTTCCCCATAGGAAAGGGAGCACACTACCTTAATAGGTAGAGGAGAAACACTTCTTTCTCGGGTCCTGTAAAAGCGCCTAGACAAACAGTCCTCTCTGGCAACCCTCTTTGAGGTCCCCTCCGGTAGCAGGAGCTGTTCCTTTTGCTTGCTTTTGCTTCCCCAATAAACTTTTTTCTTGTAACTCTTGCCTCCTCTTTCTGTGATCTCATTCTTTAACACTGTGAGACGCAAACCCAGCATTCCAGTAATATTACCATGGCCCATTCCGCACTTAATGAGCAGACATACCTCTAGCCTTTTCTCTTGCAATTCCTATACCACCACCTTAGGTTTGTTCCCTAGTGCCGAAGTTTCTTGAAAAATCTGGTGTAACAGACTGAATGTTTATGACCCACCAAAATGCATATGTTGAAACCTTAACCCTGAAGGTGATGGTTCTAGTTGGGGCTATTGGGAGGTGATTGGATCCTAAAGATAGAGCCTATGTGATTGGAATTAGTGCCCTTACAAAGAAATCCTAGAAAGCTAGTGAGTCTCCTCCACCACGCGAGGGACACAGCTAAAAGGTTTTATCTGTGAATCAGAAGAAGGTCTTTAACAAACATCAATTTTGCCAACACCCTCATCTTCAAACCTCCCAGCCTCCAGAACTACGAAAAGTAAATTTCTATTATTTATAAGCTACCCTATTTCTGGTATTTTGTTATAACAGCTCCCAAAGACTAAGATCAAAAGCCACATTCCAATTGCTTTTGGTCCCCTATTACACAATTTTCTAAGTCGAGAATATTATACTCTCTCTCCACCAGGTTCTTTCCTACTTCTGTCTCTGGTATTAGTTTGAAAGTTATCTTAGTGTAGGTTTCCTAGACAACAGAGCCTTAGGCAAGAAACCAACGCTGACTCTTAGTGTAGGGGGCAGGCTGGTATAAACCCGAGGGCACGCAAGTGTGAAAGAACTTGAGTGAAGCAAGAAAGGATGTGAAATGTGTCATGGCGCTGGCCACTGCACCGTGGCAAACCTTGCAGAGGCATGTAAGTTTTCTCAACAAATGTTGGGTACTTAGAACTTCTTAGGGTGACTATATAGAAAAACAATGCCTCCGTATGGGATAAATGAAGCAGTGGGGTCTGTCATCCGCAAATGGTCGCTCCTGGCTCTCGCTTCCCATTGGTTGCTGGATGCCTGGGAGTGTGATGTGGGCCAACGCGAGGGCATCCCAGGGATCTGCCACTCACAGGCACCGGCAAGTTACAAGGACATGGTTTTACTCTTATCTCACTAACCTGCTTTCTGCGCCCCCCAAATGCAAGAAGTGAGAAATAATCTAGAAGAGCAGATGAAACAATGAGAATTGCTGAAAAAGTAGGCCTTGCCTCTCCCTGGCTTCAGGCTATAGGCTTCTTTGGAGGTCTGGGAGAGAAAAATCTCTGAATTGGATGTAAGGTTGAAATTTTGATTTATACTGGACGGAGTCTCATAACACTTAGAAGAGAATCTCAGCTCCCCAGATGGGACTTGTTCATATATTGAAAGTGACTGAAAAACAATATGAAGATCCTGGCAAGAAAATATCCACCATGGGAAAAGGGAGATTCAACAAGAAATTATCCAAAGGGAGCACTTGGAGAAAAATAACAGGTTATAAACCATGTCTTTTGGAGTATTTGAGAGACAGGGGAATAATGAGAAAAATAAAATATTTAAACAAATGAAATTGCTATGCAAATTTCCATCCAAGTTGTCAGACTATAACTTTTTATTGCATTTTTAAAAACAAATTAAAAATTATATATGTGTCTAGCTCTGTCTTCTGCAAGAATTCTCAGAATAGAATCTTTTAAAGTCATGATTTTTTAAAGGTAATACAAGGCATTTGTTCCATAAAATTCGCTAAGAGCAGCATCTTTAACGGGTCTAAAGTTTGCACAGCATAAACCCAACTCAAATTTAAAGTTTCCTGTTCCACTCAAAGTAACAGCCAAGCTAAATTTAGAAACCGTATTTCAACATGCAATGCCGCGTGAGCACCACCATCGTCAAAGAGTACACGTGGCTCAACTCTGCCCACACCAGTAGAGTTCCGTCCTCTACCCAAGGTTGTTGTCAACTTATAACACTCAGCTGAATTGAATCAGTGTGGTGCTGGGTGTGCAAGGCCCACATGAGGATTGTTGCCAACAGCATAAAAGGAGAACTAGAGGGGAAGATGGTGTGCTGTTGGTTCTCCTGGAGAAGCTTTGTCGTGCTGGTTTTCCTGATATTGATTCAGTTATTCTCATCACTGGAGGAGCTTGGGTTCTCACTGTTGCTGTGGTTCTTTTTGGAGGAGCTCTGGTCCTTACCTTGAGCTTCGCTTCCTGGCTCCAGGGCAGATCTCTCAGCCTGGTGGCACAGATCCTTCACCCTGCTGGCACAGACTCTCTAGCTTCCACCACTGACCTCTGAGCCTTCTCAGTGCAGATCCTTGATACAGATTTGCATGAGACATTGTCATGGGCTCTAGGCCTGCAGCTGGACTTGTGGAGGACACTGCCATGGGCTCTAGGTCTGCAGCTGGACTCATGCAGGACATTGCCATGGGATCCAGGCCCTCAGCTGGATTCTTTGGGTCTCTAGTGCACGGAAAGATCTCCTGCACTCTTCTGCATTTGACTTTTTGAGTGACTATTATAAAATAATCCTATAAATTATGTGTCCAGTATTAAATCTCTTCCCTTGTAAGCCCTGACTACAACAGATATCTTTCAAATGTGACTAAGAGCAGCATCTTTAAATGGCCTAAAGTTTGTGCAGCACAAACCCAACTCAAATTTAAAGCTCCCTGTCCCACTCAAAGTAACAGCCAAGCTAGAATTAGAAATCATATTTCAGCGTGCAATGCTATGTGAGCACCGTCATCGTTAAAGAGTAGACGTGGCTCAGCTCCGTCCGGAACAGCAGAGCTCCCGTCTCCTCCCCAAGGTTGGTGTCTGTGTAATTCTGATGTCCTGGGAATGGAATGTGGTTCAGAATTATTATAGTACCTTTGATTCAGTTCCAGTGGCTCCAAATCTGTTCAGTTCCTACAACATCTTCCTCTGTCAGGCTCACCCTAAGGGCTCCTTTCCCTGATTTCCTCACTTACGTCTGTCTCACCCAGCAGACATATATGGGGCAGAGGAGGGCGCTGTTTGCCTCTCTTGGGTCTCACCCTTTTCCTCTGCAGACTCTTCCCTCCCACTGTTCCCCTTTCCACAGTCTCCCTAAGAAACAAACTTCTCCTATTGTCCTGTAAAACTGGGCCTCCATTTACCTATACTTAACGTGCTCTGTCGACAATGACCAATTTTTAAGCAAAGCCTCACACTTGGACAGCACTAGGAACTGTCAGAGGCTTTGAATTTTCAGCCTCCTTTCTCTGCTCCCAGTATCTAAAATCATTCACCTGAAACAAAAGGTCCAGAGATAATACCCAAAAAAGTCCATCAGCCGTGTCCCTCCATCTCCCTTGCTAGGTTTCTAGGGAGGTTTGTGGGGGCATAGCACTGTCATCAAGCTTGGGATTGGTCTCTAAGCTACCTCCAAAGGGGAAGGGAGCTATTAAATATGTCCGCTCTAAATAAACCACACACCCCTACGTTTGAAAAGCAGGTGCCGCTGGAGTCCATTTTGGTTTTAAGTAACACACTTTTGTCCTCTTCGTTTCCACATCTATCCCATGAACGATGGCAGAACACATTTAATAAAGAGCTCTATTTTAATCATTAATTATGATACCAATATACCAGTTGTATTGTATGTAACTTGCACTTGTGGATTTCAAAGAGCTTCCCCAGATTTAATTAATCTTCAGCTTTGCTAATGAAAAGCATTGCTTCTGGCTGGCATGAGTTTAGGTTTCTAATCTGTTCCTTAAGGTCACCTCATTTTTCTTGAAAATGTACATTTATAATTTAGCACTGCAGATCTTTCACATTCCCTATTAAGCAATTATTTTGATTACTTCATTATCTTTCATTTTTTTCCCTAGACTATTTAGGTGGGTTTCTGCCTACCACAAGCCAAGTGTAATTCAGACATTCTCTCTCACTGCCTTTATTAGCAAGATCTGCATTAGCAAGGGATTCATTTTCATTCCAAAGACTGAAAACAATTTCATTATCTGATAAAAATTATCTTCTTATATGCTATAAGAAGCAATTCTCCTCATTTATGGTCTCATTAGGGATTTCATCTACCCAATACATCTTCCCACTACTTCTTCCAGGAAGTAATCATCTTGTGACTTAACTAACAATATTTTGGGCTAGAGATTCTCATTTTCACCTTTTCTCCCCCTTTCACTTTTTTCTTCTCCTAATATAGTGGCCACATCATCTCCTTTGTGAATCCCTGCTATTTTTCTCTCTCATCCTGAAACATTTTGTGCGGGCTTCATCCTAACATCTATACTATGTGTTGTGGATTGTACATTTACGTTTCAGTTACCCTTCACATCCTATGAGCATCTTAAGAGCTAGAGATTGTTGTGCGTTCAGAGCCAGCAACTGTGTGTATTATATAGCAATGCTCAGTGCACATTCCTGTAATCCCAGCACTCTGGGAAGCTGAGGCAGAACCGCACTTGGGTAATTTAGTGACTTGGTGAGATCCTCTATCTATCAAGATAAAATATTTTTAAAAAGACTGATAATTTAGGTCAGTGTGAAGGCCCTGTTTGCAATCCCTAGTAACACACACGCGTGCATGCACACACACACACACACAAACACACATGTAGGGATAAATGAAAAATATTTATGCATACTCATTTTTAGCAGAATATAGCTTGAATTTATTTGAAAATTTATTCTTTTGAAAACACAGGCGCGGATGAGGAAGCCCAAGCAAACAAGAAAATACATCATTAGGACAAACTAAGAGGAAGCCAAAGAGAGGCATGGGTCTGTGAGCAACACGGAGGACAGTTAACTGCCCGACTAGGAGCTGAAATGCCTTTACAGCTACAGCAGGCCAATGGGGCATGAGAAAAACTCAAAGCAGTTTCCAGAGAACTTGGATACATCATAAGTGATCACATAGGGCAGGATCCCAGGCTGAATAGGGACCCGCCAAGCAACAAAATATTGAATCTTAACCATTTCTTCTCACCACATTTCCAAAGGCTGATAGGCATTGCTGAAGACTTCCTCGTTCGAATGTCACATTTCGATTGATTTCTCACTTATATTCATGCCTAGAGGAGGAAACAGAGCCATCAGAATACTTCCGCACTTACCACGTGCACTTTAGCATGCAAGAACTGCTAAAGCAGTTCGTCCTGTGCATCAGGATCAGTCCCATGGGATGCTAATCTACCTCTGCCAGCTGCTTAGAGTCTTAACTAATGCAATTAGAATATCCAGATGCCATTTCAGCCCTTTTCTCCCTTACTGTACCCAGTCTTGACAGAGATCTCCTATTCCATAGCACATGATGATCTAAAACCATTCCTCTGATTGCTACAAATTCCCAAAGACAATGTTCTTATTGTCCTTGACACGCAACTACCATGTCCATGGTATTCACTATTTTCAGCCATTGTCAGACACACACGCACGCACACACACACACACATTCTAGAACTCAAATTTCTATAAGTTGAGCAATTTTGCTTTTGGTTTGAGGGATCATTGAAAGGGGTTATTTCAACCGCTGTAAATCTCCTATAATCTTGTGACTATCCACTTTTTCTTCTCCTCCCTTTACTCTCCATTTCCAAAGAAAATGAATTCTTTTTGTAGGATGAGTCACTACCACAGTCTGCCAGGACCTGTCTCTTTGGTGGCAGTCCAGATTTATTCACTAAGTCCTGTATTCAAAGAAATAATCCAGTTCTGGATAAGTTGAAAAGATTAGTGACCTCATTGCCTTGTCTCAAATACTTTATTTGCTTCTCTGAAGCACCAAATACAGTCTATTCTGTGGTTCAGACCACCTGCTTCAGTAAACATCTTCCTAAGAGAGGCAAAGCTCTCCCTAAAGGGAATTATTGGACACATGTTTAGCAAATAAGCATTTCTGATCATTAGATGCCAACATACTCGGGATTATCCCCACTTAATGAATTGATGTTTTATATTTTTCAAAAATCTTTCACATTATTTCTGGAGTGTCCATGTTTAAAATCTACCTTTATATTAATATAACCTCAGTAGCTTTCTTATGTGTAATGTTTACATAGTATCCGTGTCTCCATCCTTTTATTTTCTACTCATTGGTGTCTTTTATTTAAAATGCATACAATCTGTGCTTTTAATTGGAAGCTTTGGTCCATTCACATTTAATGTAAGTAGTGACAGAGTTAACTATAAGTTTAGAGTACAAGACGTGATCAAAAAGTACAGTATTTACATTTTTAAAACTTATTACAGTAAAAGATGCATTGCCAAGAACAACGGGATAAGTATGTTTGAAATGAAATGTAGTATTCTGAGTATATACAGGGGGATTTATGGCAATGTGTCTTTCATTGTAATAATTTTTTTATTGAAAACACCGTATTTTTCAATTTAGGCTGATTTACTTTTCTTTCAGCACCTTTAAGAAGGCAATCTATTACCCTCTCACCTCCAAAGTTTCTGATGAGATGTGAGTCTTTCTTCTTATTAGCTATCCTTAGTACTTTGTAGTGTCTTTCACTTCCGGTGACTTATGATAATTTTCTTATCTTTGATTTTTAGAAGTTATCCTGCTTGAAGTTCCTTGAACTTTCTAAATCTGACAGTGGTTATAGTTTTCAATCAAATCTAGAAAAAGTTTTTCCATTAAAAAAAATTCTCTCCATTTTTGAGACTTCAATTTCACATTTGATAGGACACCTGATATTGTCACAGGGGTTGTCATCACTGCAATTTTTAAAAAATCATTTTTCTTTCTGCACTCGGTTGGATAATTTCTACTAATGTATCTACAAAGCACACTGTTTTTTTCTTCCTGTGGTGCTTAATTTGCTTTTAAGTTCTTTCAATGAATTTTTAATTTCAGATATATTTTTCAGTTCCATAACTCCCATTTGATTTTTTCCTCATTTCCATATCTGTCCTGCTATTCCTCATCTCTTCACCCATTAGCGATCTTTTCCAATAGTTTATTTCACGTGTATTTCATAGCTATTTGAGAGTCTTCATGTTTTAATTCTACCATCTGAGACTTCTGAGGATCTGTTTATTTTTCCTCTGGTTACAGATCACATTTTTCTTCGTATTTGTATACACAGTATTTTAAAACTTCATACCATACGGTGTGTGCATTCTTATTTTCTTTCCAGGAGTGTTTTGTTCTAACACACGGCTCACCTACTGACAGATTAGCTTAATATAGTGGAGTGTTGATATGATGGGCTTCTTTGTTTTGCTCTTGTAGTCCATGCTCCTCGGACCCTCATTCCTAAGCTATTGCCCTCCTAAGGTTCAAAGAAAAGCACACGGAGTTAGTAAGCTCCTTTTACTTGACTTGAATTCCAAAATTTGTCTTTCCAGCACCAAGTGTTGGATGAGATCTCCACCCGGTTCTTCCAGCCGTACAGCTGTGCTTTCCCTTGGATTTCCAGCAGTTTCCCCACGCCCATGTGGAGTTTGGTAGTCAGCTGACAGGCTAAGGAGGAGAATTAATGCATAGATTTTGGGGCTTCCCATGTTGTTTCCTTCTTCTTCAGATCACCCTTCACTTTTAACTTCTAGTTGTTTGGACAGACCCACACTCCGACTTCTGAGGCCTCTGCCAGCCATTATCCTCTCCCTAATTAATCTTTATCCCGTGGACAGTCACGCACCACAGAATGAGGTTTGGTCAGTGACAAATGACATATGTGACAGTGGAGCCATTAGATTATGATGGAGACAAAGTTCCTAATGCTGAGTGGCATGGTAGCCATCGTTAGGTCATAGCACTAAAAGTCACTCTAAAGACACCTCCCCTGCGGACAGTGGCATAAAAGTATAGCAAGTGCAATTATGTACACTCAGTGAGCACCAGGCTCTGTCGTCCAGGCTTGTGTACACACGCTCTTGGACGTTCACGCAGTGCTGAAGTCGCCTAAGGAAGCACTTCTGAGATCACATCCCTGTTGTTAAGCAGCGCACACTGTACTTTGCAAGATGAGGAGGCTGACTTCAGAGAAAAAGCTGTTCAATGTGGCGCTCACCTAGCTTGCTGTGATATTTCAAGCATCATGTTTTCTCTGGCTTCCTATTTTAAATCATTCCCCGGGGGCTTCAAGCATTTATTTTAATTATGAATTTATAATTCTTTGCACTGTTTTTTGGTCCAGAGTTGAAAGTCGTAATTGGCAGATGGTAGTTCTATAAATGCTACTCTGCTGTTACCAGGAGTGAACTCTTACCAAGACTAAAAACCAAAAGCTAACCAAGCTCTTGGCCCTTTCTAGGCCGAACTGAGATTCCTAGAAGGGGTGTGTAATAGTAGTAAGCATCCAAACACTGGGTGCTTTATCTCTTTCAAAATTTACAGATGAGGAAACCAAAGGATGAAGACACTAAGGACCGCGCCCAAGTTCACACGGATGGAACCAGAAAGTCCAGGACTCCGATCCAGGTGCTCTGATGTCCTAAATGGCTCTCTAAGCCAGCGCACTAATCTTCCATTCAAGTGATGGCTGCTTGTTTCTTGAGGGAGACAGTTTACAGGGGGTTTAAACTTGCAGTAGAAAACTGAATTAAATAACCTTGATGACCCCTATAAAATTATTAATCTTTTATCCTATAAAAATATAATGCCAGATCAGCTAAGAATATTAATTTTCATGTCAAAAATTCTTTCTATCAATAAGAAATGCATAAAATTTATACAGAAAACAGTATTCCCATCCTATTTACTTAGCTCCTGCAGAATAATTTCCCTTCTCTCCACAGTGTCCTCTGGCACCTCCCATACAACTGTGTGTTTGCAGTTACCTGGATTGCTGCAGCACTCGTTGTGCATTGTGTTCCTCCTGAATGCAGTGTCAAGATCGATCAACCAATCTACTTTCAGCAGCGCAAAGCAGCAGACTTTGAAGTCCTGATAATAGCCATTTGGTGTGTTTCTCCTCAAATACGGTTGAAAAGTATTTTTAACTGGTGAAGCTGCTCAAGTAAAAATACACTGAAGTGTTTTTCCTCAGACAAAAGTGAAGCTTCTTTTAAGATCAATAAAAAGATTCTTTCCCTTGACATCCCTCTCTTGCTGCATGCCTCCTTAATGGTTTTAAACTAATTAATCAGAAATGGATGTTGTTTGAGAAAATGAAATAAATCCTTAGTAAACTAGCCTGTAATCATTGAAATGATTTGTAAAATGTGTTGCATTTTACTGCATCTGTGGTTAAAGACAGAGAGACAGAGACAGAGAAAGAGACAGAGACAGAGACAGAGACAGAGACAGAGCGAGAAAGAGAGAGATCTCATGAGGACATGTAGGAAAACCCCTTTCTGGGAATAATATCAGGATTAGGAATACCAGTGCATCTTCTAAGTGCACGGTCTGTTTTCCCCTCATAACATTGTTGATCTTATAGTCTACCATAGTGTATTTACTTCTTAACATGTATTATAGGAGAGCATACAGTTAAGTTCGTGGCCAACGCCTAGTAAATACAAAACATAAAATGGTATCTTTGCATAAAAATAAAAAATTGACTCAACTGCTGGTTCCATCTTGCCTTTCTACTTTTACTGGTTTTCTTTGCCCTATTTTTCTTGGTTTTAATTAATTGTATCCCCACATCTAAGTTACCTTAAATCCCTTTTGCAGGAAATCTGAATATAAGTAACTAAATTGTCCGGATTGGCTATCACTATTTAAAAAATAAGAACCAAGGAGCTGTAAACAAAAGTTCAGAAGCAAATGAGAACCTAAAAAATTCACAAAATATATAGAATTTATATCCTTGACACTGAGGGATCTTAGAAATACAAAAGATAAATATGCCAGTAAAAAATTAGCAAAGGTCCTCAAGAGTCATGAATTTTTTTTACAAAAAAGCAATGTAAACATGTACTGCAAATTTGTGCCAAGAAAAAAATTTTAAAATGCAATGGGCCAGTAAAAAGTTTGAAAACTGTTCAGTGTTAGATACAAATCTAAGTTTAATGAGAAACCTCTGCACAAAATAGGAGCATAAGTTCCTTTCTTTCGAAATCTGCCTACCTTGTTCTTTGGTCTCAAGGAGCAGACAGACATGCAGATGGAATGAGT